AAGAAAAGAATATTTTCAAAAAAATTTAATTTCTAATGTCGATAGAACGCGGACCTTCTGGAACTTAGTGCCAATTAGACGGTTATTTCTAAGGCAGAAAAAAAATGCTCAGAGACCTCCCAGTTCAATCGGTGTTTCCTCCGCCCAGTATCACGTCCCTTGCTGGCCATGGACCTCGACACAATAGCGACCTTTAAGGCCTCTTACCTAAGGAACACCTTCAGGCAACTTATCGAGCAGACAAGAGTTTGCAGAACTGGAGGGAAAAGTTCTGCGTAAGGAAGACCTGGGCTGAAATGCCTCAGGCATGCATGAATGGTGTCTGGAGGCGACTCCATCCAGACATCGTACAAAGTTTTCTGGCTTCGAAAAGCACTTTCCTGATGTCATGAGGAAAACCAGGCGCATCGCTGACGAAGCAGGGATCACGGGAGTCGAAGCAGGTGACGTGGAATAACTGGCCTCCAGTGGAAAGCCTTTGCCGATGAGGAGCTGCAGAAGCTAGACCCACACGTGGCTTTCGAGGAAAACCAACAACCTGAGTGTACTTCCACGAAATAGTTACTTTCTTTGCATAATCAGTGCATGACTTCACTGGAAGAGAACGGCGATGACCTCACACAAGTGATGCTGTTAAGGCACGGTTGTGACGCACTGCCTTACTGCTAAGACACGTTTTGCGTACCAAGTGAAAATAGGCTAAACAAAGGGTCCAGGACTGATTTTATCCTTTCCCAAGCACGATCCCCCCAATGTACCCTCCAAGCCGTAGGCGCTTGCTTTAGCTGATGACTATCCTGCTCCTCGGGAAGACACCAGCAGTAAGCTCCTCCCTTCATCTCACCCCCTTGTCCAGGAGAGACAGAACGTGAGAGCGCAACTAGGAAGTATGTGTTTATTTTCATATTTACTCATCTTATCGTATTTATTTTTACGCAAAAGCGTTACCAATGTTTATCCGTTTAACAAACTTGTTGCTGCGTAATGCTATGTTTATAGTTTATGAGTGAAAAATATTTGCGTGTCATAGGGTTGAGGCCGATGTTACAGCAACCATAACGAACGCCAAATTCGCTTAACGGGATGTTCTGAGGAACACATTCATCGCGTTGAGAGGGACGTCATCCGCATAAACAGCATTCAAAATACGGCATAACCTTGCTTCTCGCCATAGTACCTTCGTGTATGTGCGTAGTAGTGTTACAGTACAGATGTATGTATGTACACACACACATTATATATACATATATACAGGCAGACCGCCTCTGTGGTCTATTGGTCAGGGTTCCTGGCTACAGATCCAGAGGTCCAGGGTTCGATTCTCGGCGCTACTAGATTTTCTGAGAAGTAGTGGATCTAGAACGGGGTTCACTCAGCCTCAGGATAACTGAGGAGCTATTTCAAGGAAATAGAGGCTCCGTTCTAGAAAACAGAGATTAACGGTCGTGGGGAACCGTTCCGCTGACCACGAAACACCCTCTATCCGCTAAAGTTGGCACTAACTTCGCCGACAAGCGGAGGTCGCTCGGTCGGTACAGTTAGCTTGCGGAATAAAGGCCACGGAGTTTTTTAGGCAGGCCAACAAGTCTTAGGTGCGTAGTAAACTTGAACGACTCCACTCTCACAGATTTGATTTGTTCCTTTAGATCGCCTAACGATTATCCTTCGAACTTGCGGGAAAACATATCGTAGGAGAGGAAGGCTCGATGAAATACGGACATGAGAGGATGCAGAACATTCTACGCTACACAGCATCTGCGGTGCATAGAGCATCGTTCAATAACCTAAGACCTTGTTGACTATCTGAGCAAGCTGGTGTAGCCGTAACATTCTAAACCTGTGTTCAGGAGGTAAGCGGTTCGTATGTCATACAGACTGCCACACTTTCTGACACATGCTTCCTGTGTTCCCTTATTTTTTCAAGGTAATTTCTATTTTCTATATTCTAGACACAGGCCACGACTGCGTTATTCCAAATACTTTATTTTTTAGTCCACAATATCCACCTTTTATTTGACGTTATGCAGCATTTCCTGTTGAAACAGCATCGTTAAATGATCTAAGAACCAATAAATCAAATAAATACATGAACGCACAACTTTCCTACCTCCTGGCAGGACAGAGGACGAAAGTGTGGCTGTCAGCTTCCGCTCTGACTCTTACGGGAAACTGTTTCAGTTTATGTAACGCAAAGTAAAAAAAAAAAAGTAAAGGTATCCCTGTAACAAGCGGTGGAGGCCCATACGGTTGTGAGATGNGGAAACTGTTTCATTTTATGGAACGCAAAAAAAAAAAAAAAAGGTATCCCTGTAACAAGCCGTGGAGGCCCATACGGTTGTGAGATGTTGAGGTTCCAATATTTTCTGGACAATGGGCTCATAGATGGCGGTCGCCGGCCGCCCTTTACCCTCAAAAATATTCCTGGTACTCATATCTGTTAGAGACTGAGTCGACCCCAGGGCCATAGTGCGGCTGGAAGGATTAGGTCAATTTAAAAAATCCACCTCATCGGGATTCGATCCGCGACCTTCCGGCTTGTAGCATAGTGCCTCAACCAACCACGCTACCGCGTGCCTTTATGTAATGACGTCTTCAAAACTGTGTAGGTTACATATCGCCCAATTTGAACGACGGAATGGAAAGAATGTGGCCGAATAGCTGAAATACAAGAAGTTCAGTCGAATACAGGACAAGAATCCAACTCGGGGCCTCATAATACACAGCGGGAGCAACAATCACTCAAGCACGCCGTTGCACAGGCAAAATGAGAGAGGGCTGCATTTCACCAGTCTGCCTCATTAAGCTAATATCAAATGTTGCCTCGACTGGAAATGTAAGGACGCGGGAATACGCCGGAACTTCTGGTTTACGATTATGGGCGTCTGGGAGAATGCGAGGTAAGTTCTCGAATGAAGGCACGCT